CTGTCACTATTTCATCAGGGTCAACAATATGAGGAGGATCTAATTGACATGATCGATAGAGAGGCAGATGGCAGCGATAGTCTCGAAGGTTTTGTTTTGTGCCACTCGATTGCTGGAGGAACAGGCTCAGGTGCTTTTACCTGTTCTATATATTTTTGTTAAAAGCTCTTCATTTATCCATAATGACAAAATGCTTATGTCTAGACTTGTTGTCTTAAATTACAAGTTTAATCACGATCGTTTGATGCTGGTATATGTTCATCAGAGGTTTCTTGCTGCTCTTAAATTCCGTCTATTCAGCATATATGTTCATAAGAGGTGTTATTCGTCATTGGGGTTGAAGGATGTCCTTTATTTGTTTCTTTTTTTCAGGATCCCCATGTCGTCCCCCTATTCAGTCTTTTAATTATTTTATGCTTATCGCAATACACTTGCTCTGTTGTAGGCATGGGATCTTATCTTTTGGAGACTCTGAATGACCGATATAGCAAAAAACTTGTTCAGACTTACAGTGTGTTTCCCAATCAAAACGAAACCAGTGATGTCGTGGTCCAGCCATACAACTCTCTTCTAACACTCAAACGTCTGACGCTGAATGCTGATTGCGTGGTTGTTCTTGATAATACTGCACTTAACAGAATTGCTGTGGAGCGGCTTCACATAACGACTCCCACTTTTGCCCAAACAAATTCTCTTGTTTCTACTGTCATGTCAGCAAGCACAACCACCTTACGGTATCCAGGATATATGAACAATGATTTGGTTGGTCTACTCGCTTCTTTGATCCCTACTCCCCGGTGCCACTTTCTAATGACAGGATACACACCCCTTACTGTGGAGCGCCAGGTCAGATATTGGTTGACATGATTCTGCTTTTCATAATTCTAAATTAACTAACGATCAGCCTTGTGTAATACTTTCCTTCTTATCATTGTCGTTGCAATTATCGCTGACGTTTTATCAATGAATTGTCAAGTATGCAGCAAAATATTGTTAAAAAATAATAGACTTAATTTTTTAGGAAATGTTAGAAGCATGTTGAAATTTTAGCAAATTGATAATAAAAAATATTTTATATTGCAAAATATAAATCATGAGTGATGCTGCTTCGCTTTGAATATTTAACATCTTTTATATTCAATAGACTCACTTCTTGTTTTGTGACTAAGCTTTATTAGAAATGTTTGTAGTGATGATTGTCCTGTGTTAACTGGCCTATGCTCCATCGAAACCCCTGGATCACCTTGCTGTTGGTTTTGACAACAAAAACAGAAATTCAAGATTCGTCTAAGATCTAACCAGCAAATTTTACATCTAAAACTAGACAATTGTTTAATTTGATCGGCAAAATCTGACTAGAAGAATTAAACAGAAGCATCCCCCTTGACTGGAAACTAGTACTCTTTTGGGAATACTTATGGTTGTTTACATCTTATCTATTGAAAAATATATTTCCAATATATTCTTTCTAACATGTCATGGTTGATCAATCAAGTGCTTAGCATTCTATAAAAAGTAGTAATAAAACTTGAAATCTAACTTAGATGCACCATATTGACAGGCCAATGTCATTCGGAAAACAACCGTGCTTGATGTGATGAGAAGGCTTCTCCAGGCAAGAT